CCCAGTCTGGGACCCGCTCCCAGCCTAGCCCCGGCCTCTGTGCCCAGCCTGCTCCGGTGCTCGGGGACCCCCGATGGGACCCCCGCACCCAGAATGGCCCCCAGGCCCTAACGCTGGCCTGGGACCCCTGCACAGCCTGGATCCGGCATGTCCCCTTCCACCCCGCTCCTGGGACCCCCTCCCAGCCTGATCCTGGGATTCTGGGACCCTCCACTTCACCTGGCTCACCCCTCCCGGTGCCCCCCTTTCCCCCAGGCTGTGCTGACCCCCACCCGCGGTCCCCCCCAGCCCCACAGGCAGCCGGTGTCCGCAGAGGGGTCGGTGTGTGGTGAGCTGCCCACAGCCCCTCTCGGGAGGGGAGGAGGGAGAGAAATCGGGAATGCCTTTGAGCCCAGGAGGAAGGGAGAAGTGGGAAAAGGGGTTAAGGTTTCGGGGTTTTTCTTATTACCCTGCTCTGATTTGATTGGTGATAAATATATTAAAGGGGAGATTTAGAACAGGTTTTAGGAAGAAATTCTTGGCTGTGAGGGGGTGAGGCCCCAGCTGTGGCTGCCCCTGGATGCCTGGAAGTGTCCAAGACCAGGCTGGACAGGGTTTGGAGCAACCTGGGACAGTAGAAGGTGTCCCTGCCATGGCAGGAGCTTGGAACAAGATGGGCTTTAATGTCCCTTCCAACCCAAACCATTCCGCTATTCCATGATTTTATGAAATTCAATTAATTTCCCCAAACTGAGTCTGTTTTACCCATGCCTGCACCTGGTGGCATCCTGATCCTCATCTCCAGCTTTTCCTTGTATTTTCCCTCCCTGCTCAGTTGAGGAGGGAGCGATGGAGCAGCTCTGGGGGCTCAGGCCAGGGTGAGCCCTCACAAAGGTGGGTGACATCAACCCTCAAAGAGGTGAATGACGACTGCACCCCGAGAGAGCCCCAGCAGCGGGGTGAGGAGGGTGGGCCCGAGAGGATGTGGGGGCAAAGAGGGGCATATGGGGGGTTGTCTGGGGGTGTGGGTATATGGGAGGGTCTAGGAGGGGCTGTAGAGGGTCGGGGTGTATGGGGGGGCTGCAGGAGGGGCAGGGGGATGATCAGGGGCTGTAGCCGGTGTGTGGGTACCATGTCCCAGCCCCACACGTGTCTGTGGTACCACGGGAGGGGCACATCCCCTGAATCTGTTCCAGCCCTGTTGGCTGAGGCCCCTCGCCCCAGCCAGGTTCTCCTGCAGCCCCCGCTCGTGGC